TAAGTGTCAACGACAGTAATGCTTTTTCGCCAGAGGATATGGCAAAGGATTACGAAGAGTCACCAAGAGGTAAATGATACCAACGGTATCATTTACTTTTAAATGAGAGTGACTTTTCTCTTCTAGCATGTGCTCCTAATGTAAAATGGTATTCCATTTGCCGTTGTCATATAGTAGCAGACTACTAGTCTGTACACGAACACCTCTATTCATTAATTCACTTTACCAATGGATCTACAATGTTGGCAGACAAGAAGAAAATACAACGTGCAGGGAAATGAATACATCCAAAAAGTACATTTAGAAAAATTATTTGTTTGGATCTTGTGTTGGTGTTTTGGACTGTATTATGTCTAACAGAGCATTGACCCATTTCATTGTATTGAATTTTCGTCTAAGGTTGACTTAAATGATATGATATAGCGCCGTTTTCGCAATGTTGTCATGTTCGTTTATTTCTCTGTTAGCCTCAGTGACTACTCTTCTTTCCTGCAATGGATATTATGCTTAAATCCGATCAAAAGCAACGAATATCCGATATAGTGCCATTTTGACAATGCCGCCATCTTTGTTTTTTTTTTGTGATAACAAATTCGATATCTCCTCCTCTTTCCAACGAGCCCTCATTCTCAAAGATCGGAACAATAGAAACGGAGATACGGTATAGTACAAATTCGATATCCCCTCTTCTTTCCAACGAGTCCTCATTCGCAAAGATTGGACCAATAGAAACGGAGATGTGGTATAGGGCCGTTTTGAAAATGCCTTTGTCTTTGTTTTTTGTGTTAACGTATTCGATATCTCCTCCTCTTCCATTTAACGTATTACACGTAGTAATCTGACTAATAACAATAGAGATACGGGATAGTGCCGTTTTGGCAAAGTCTTTGCGTTTGATTTTTGTCTTAACATATTCGTTACCACCTCCCCTTTTCATCGATACCTTGCACGTTGTTGTACGTTGAGCCGTTTAGACGTTACAAGCTTAGTGCCCTTTTGGCTATACGCTGCCATCTTTGTTTTTTGTGTTAACGTATTCGTTACGTCCTCCCCTTTCTGACGATACCTCACACGTCTCGATAAGCCGTCTCGCCTCCACCACAAAATGAGCCAAAAACGAGCAGAATGGACCTTATAATTTCTTATGGAGATTTACATGGGAAAATGACCTGTTTTGTGCTCATAGCCGTGCTGCCCTTTAACTACAGACCCTCCATTCATTTTTTCTAATTCGAAATCAATACATTCAACAGAAGTTGCTATGCTTGCGAATTAAATGGTTTACCAGGCATATTATAAAAATAAAAATTCATAAAAAATATTGCATATCATTCCGTTGATGTGGTTTTAGCCATATTTATATAACTAAATGTCGATTTAGAGGTTAGAATAAATATTATATTATTGGTCATTAGCTAATAAATCAATTCTTACAATAATAAATCGAACACGAAGGTAACGGTTAATCGTTATAACAGCTGTTTGTTAAAAAATATGTATATTTAAAGTACGAAAAATGATTGAATATTTAAAAAACTCGAAAATAATTTATAAACATACTACAAACTATCGTATTGTATCGTATCGTATGGCTGTCTTTCTTCGATGTATGCTGTTGTGTATTACCAGGCGACATAAGGTCGATTAATACATACTGTGCCGAGTCTGTTACTCTTATACTCTTTAAAATAAGTTCGCAGTCGTGCTCTCAATTCGTCGACGGTTCCCTTGGGATCTAAGCCGCATTTTTCGGCCTCGGTCTGCAGTTTCTCTTTGCAAAGTCGATTTATCCACGACGTACCTGTTACTGAGTCTGTGTCTTTATATGTCGGCATGTTATTAATTTTACTCGAGCGCCAGTTTGTAACGGGTAGCTCTTTCGGGGCGACAGACTCAGTAAAACACAGATTGAAATAACAATGAATCTATTAATTTAACGTATGTACAATAAAAATAAAATTAATTCTCCGCCGTATATACAATAAAAATAAAACGAATCTTTCGTCCCCGTCTGGATCCCGCGATGAAGGAATTCCCCGGCGAACGTCTATAAAAGAAAGAAAAAGTTATTATTAATAACAAAACAAATAAAATAGGTTAAGTCAATCGCACGCAGACTTATACTCGCTTCCGCTTCAATTCAGCGGGAGCTCCGAACGCACTCGCAAACTAAATATTCGGCTGTGCAGGCCCCACGGTAAAGTTCAATACACAATACCGATGGCTTCTGCTTGGTTAAGAACAGAGTATGATCCTCAATACGGAAATATCTGTGTCAGGGTTGGCTCGCAGGTTCGGTACACCGGCGAATCGAGGAGCCTAGAGCGCTAGCTACAAGACTGTCTAATTCCGCTACTCACACACCTTAAATAGCCGCTCTGGATCCCACTTCGCCATCTCGTTGAAGAAGTGGATGCGCAAACATTGACACTCCCACGGTTCAAACTGTTAAACGATCAGAACATCGTTACAAACGTTTTCCTCTCTATTTGGCTCGGTACGCACTGACACGGAACGGTCACAGCACGGATATGTATAAATCGACCTTTAATTTCATCGATTTAGTTTCTTATCGAAAGTAGAAAAGAGACGTAATATAAAAAATAATTCGTGAATAATGTCATACTTGTGCAAAGATCTAGCTGATGGACTATATTTTTGTTGGTCATCATATAGTTTTTCAAAAAATTTATTTCAAATCCTTTATAAAAGGTATATAATAATTATAAAGGATTTGAAATAAATTTTTTGTGATATATGGTATACAGCCAGCTATAGGAACTTAGTTTCCTAGTGGATTTTTATATATTTTTCGTTGGCAAGAATAGTAGGCAAACATCTGGTCTTGTCTATGAATACCAGACATATTTTTGTTGTAGCTGATAATTGGTTTTGATTTCATTACTTTCTGACGTCTTTTTGTTATATCTTCCATCAAGTTCTTCTTCTTATGTTAAGACAATATTTTGTTTTTTAAAAGTTGTTGCCTAAGTTTGGATTTAGATGTCCAACTTTCATATCAGTGTTGAGCGGTCTTCCGGGTGGTCTGCTGGTGTTTGGTTTCTCTTCCTTTAATGCTTGCAATATTTGCAAGTCTCTTATCACTTATTATATCAACGTAGTCTCCCTAACTGTAGACCATTTTTCAACGTCTTGGATGTATTATAGGGTCCTGATATCGCTGTCCCTCCTCTATTTTTCTATTGATCTAGATTTATATTGCTTGTAATATTAGCGCCTAGATATTTTTATTAATATTGATATTCTATCAAGTTGTTTTGACATTATTATGTTATATAGTGAACATCCCTCTTATTCTTCCATTTTCCAACCAATATTACTTTTTAGCAATTGGCAAAAATGTTTCATGTTTAAGAAATTAATTCTAAAAGTTTCTATGCAGTCAGCTTCACAACTTCAAGCAGATTTTTAGCTAATTTATAACTCTTATAAAAATTATCCGAAGTCAAACATTTACCAATATTGAGTTTACTTTCTAAAAGCTCCACCACTTTATCAGTCTATTCTTTCCCACCTGAATCAGCAAATATTCTCACATAAAGTAGAAATTTGAAAATAAGACCATTTGGTTCTGTAAGAATATACAATTTTATACACTTTTGTTTTGTTTTTAATATACTGTCTAATATTTATTCGTCCTCGTTATAGTATCATTGGCTCATCTAAAGTCAAATTACGATCGCAGGCGCATTCAAATCACCTCCTGTTATGACTCGCTTCTCTGATGGAAGATCACTCAGTGTGTCTCCCAATTGATCATAAACAGCTTTTATTCTCATCACACCGATTTGAGGAGCATATACACTTACAACATTAAACATTTCTTTATCAAGTACTAATTTCACGGTCATCGTTCTATCAATCATTTTTACCATTTCTACTACGTTATCTTTCATTTCTCTATCAGCAATTAAACCAACTCCGTTCCTACATACCAAAACTTGTATTCTTCACCTTATTCTTTCGTCTTTTGTCCATTGCACCTCATCTCTTGAATGCGAGCAATTTGAACTCTCATTTTTTTAGTACATCTACCAATTGCACACTCTTACCTGTAAGACTTCCAAGATTCCATGATCTTATCTTGATTTTTCTTATCCGTAATGGTATTCCTCCTGAAATAGTCCTCATCCTGAAATTCGAACGGAGATTTACCTTAAGAGATGCCATTTCAGTATAATTTTTGTTATATTGAAGATCTTTTCATTATTATGGTCTGAAAAGATTTTTGAGCATTTTGAGATAAATGAGTGTTTTATCAACATCATATCCTTCACGATTGAACACACCTACACGATTTGCTGGGTTCTCTATATAGGTGGCTGATAACCCTTTGTAATGAATTCTCTTCGAATATCTTATTGTCGTTTAACTTATAAAGGAATGAAGAAAGATATGTCTTCACTCAAATCAGATCAAATTCACTCTCGAAAACATTATACGAATCTCAAATTAAACAGTCAGATAAACCAGACAGATAATCCATCAATCGTCGATGATCGATGTTCTTAAAACTGTTAAGAAATTCCGCAGCGGTTAAGTCGGACATTCATACATGTAACACTGCAGATGTAAATATTTAATAGGCCTCTCACTTTTCGTTTCTTTAAATGTTTGCATGCTGAGCGGTGTGCACATATGATTTCTGTATGTACGATGAATTAACATTAATGTAACAAAATAGTGACAAAAAGAAGTTAAACTCAAGTGGCAATAATACTCAACAATGATTTGATAAACAATCTTGCAAACCAAGTTTCCTTTACAATACTCGTCAGAGCACCTGATCTTCTGGTAAGTTCCGTTCAGTGGCGTATATTTCCCGATGACGGTCACACATACCAGTGTTTCACTGCTATGTTACTCCAGTTTTTTTTAGTTAAACCCAAAGCTTATTGACTGACATAATTGCTTATTTTGTAAAATTGTTATCTAGTGACGTTATATGACATTTTAATGTACATGTTTTACTTCTCTAGCACAATTGGCCGCTCAAGTCCATTTGCGATGCCACTGGGATGAGCCTGGTTTACATATTGACGGTCCTCCTATGTACATGTTGTGGAAAATGAGAGATACTTCCCAGTTTAACTCTAACGGAAGGAGCCTAATTACAAAGACGTAAGTTTTTATGTTATTTTGTACAATTAATCATAACGATTTGCAAATATAATAGTAAAATACATATGAACGGTAAAAAGTGTTTAGTAGGTTGTTTAATTTAGTAATTACATAATTGAAACAAGATTTTATAGCTTATTATACGTTTATATTCAATAAAAGCTTCTTGTACTTCAATACACTCAGAATCAGTAACCTTGTAATTTATTAATTCCATCCTGATGTGAGAATCCAGAAGATTGACACTTCTATGGCACCTATTCATGGCAACGAATAGAATTTTGTGAAATACTGGATACTGTAATAAATCGTGCTGTGATTTTCGTTTAATAGATTTTTAGCTGTGAAAGGAAGTTCCTTCTCTTAATGAAAAATAGTTTTTTTCTCACTAATTTTTACATTCTGTTCGCAACAAACTTTTTTAGGTCGACTGAACTGATGGTTAAGCGTCCACTCATATTGAACTTTTTTTGAGGAAGAAATCTTTATAAGACAGTCTGAGTAGACCACAGCACCCCAAGAACCTGTGGTATTGCCCCCTCCCCCTGGAGCGTGAGATTCAGTCCGCTCGCCCGATCCAGATATCCGGATAATCCAGATTCAATTTTCCTTATGCGTTATCTATTAGACCTGAATTAGCCGTGCCTGGTCAGGAATTATGTAAAAAAGTAATTTGTTCTTTAAACCTACATTCATACCACTGTTTCACATCTGGAATTACTTTCTTTGTCCATTTCTTCTCTCACTTTAGCATTTGTTCTCTTACCTCAGCTTCCACCCGTGTTCGGTGGCCGATATATCATTGTCGTATAAGATCTTACGTTCTTTCGCTAGGAGGTAAATGGGGAGCGCACGCACTTATTACCTTGAGGAGTTTTCTTTGGGTTCTTGTTAATATTTTTTCATAATTGTTGCCCTTCATACCTAAAACATCAAGTCATACATGTGTCCCATGTAGGAGGGTCGATTGTACCACCTGGAGATACATTTTCCTTTTATAGGTACTCGGCCCGTACTTATATTTGGCATAATATTTATCATGGAAGGGGTTCTCTGTTTTAGGTTTTCTGACTGCATTTATCAGGTGTTTCGTGTATCTCAAACCTGAATCAAGGTGTATACCCAAATATTTAACGCAGTTACTCGGCTCTATAATACTACCATATAAATCCAAACTCAGATTTGGTCTCGGTCTTGGTCCCTTTAGTAGTACGATATCTGTTTACTTGGCTACTTGCTAATTCTAGGTCATTCTTTATCATCCACCTGTTGACTTTTCTGTAACAACTTACCTGTCACCTTATCTTCAATTCATATTAGTTCACCATTCATATTAATCTCTATTAGGACTTCAAATTCGTTTGCATGTGCTACGGCGTAGATTCCGTTGTATGGTAAATTTTATAGAGTGGGTCTCAAAACAGATTCTTGCAATACTCCTGATGATAATTGCATGCCTTGATTATACGCCATATTTAAATAACTGTTTTGTCAGGTATTCCCTTATGACATTTATGATATAGTCTGACACTCCTGCCACTTCGAGCTTCGTTAGTATGTGATGCCAATTAAAGGAATTTTTGACATCGAACTTCACGAGAATGGCCCATATTTTTCTCCTTCTTTGGCAGTGTCAGAGATCTTCTTCACCGCATCTATAGGCGATCTGGCTTTTCTAAAACCATACTCTCTATCTGAAATTATTCCCAGTATTTAAAGTTCTTCTTCAAGGTGTTTCTTTGTAAGACCCTCGTAGAATTTTCATATGCAATCTAGTAAGCATAGTGGTCTGTATGAGTTGGCTTCGTCCGGGTCCTTTCCGGATTTTGGCAATAATACGTGTCTCGCCAACTTCAGTTTATCTGGGAATTCTTGCTTATTGCTTATTCAAAAGTTCCTTGAATACTTGTTCTGCTTTTTTTATGTAGACATGACTCTGTCTGTTTTTCAATGTGCCTCCAGTAAGTTGTCGTTTTATCGTCTTCGTGGTCTTCCTACTGCTAGTCTTCCTATTGGGGAACCGTCTTTACTACTCGATCTGTTGCCATTCGACTTATATAATCGTTCCATTCTACTCTTCTATTTCTTACCAAGTCCTTGATGTTCTCCACCTTGCATCTACGTCGTATACCTGTGGTCTTACACTGGATTTATAAATTCTAGACTTCATCTCAGTGTTAATGTGTCTGTTTCGTCATATAGTGTTATTAAGGCATCCTGTCCTCTATTTGCTTTTTGTATTTGATCTATTCCTTCTTTGTCCATGTCTCCATAGCTAGACAGTGTAATTCTCAGGTATTTTATTTCATTCCTTGATTCAATACTATTGTTTTAGTTTTCTGAGATGAAATTGTCATATTAAATTCTTTTGCTCTTATGTTAAATCTGTGGACCAAACTTTGTAGACTATCTTCATCTTGGGCTATCAATATTGCTTCGTCTGTTTAACAGAGTATTTTGATTTCTTTGTTTTCCATTATGTATCCTCTTCCTTTTTTAACGGTTTTGATGATTTCATCTATGATCAAATTGAAGAGCATGGGGCTCAACGAATCCCCTTGTCTGATTCCGCTGCCTATTTCCATAGGTTCTATAAGTTGTCTATCTATTCTGACTTCCATTTTGTTGTTTTGGTAGATGTTTTCGATAGTTTTTATAATATTTAGGGGAACTTCTCTATTATACAAAATATGGATTACATCATTGAGTCTTACTCTGTCAAACGATTTCTTTAGGTCAATAATTCACAGGAATTCTGGTCTATTATACTCTAGTGATCTCTCAGTAATTTGCTTTATAACGAATAATGCATCTGTACACGATCTTTTACTACTAAAACGCTGTTGTTCATCTGCTAAACTTATCCTCTTATTTCTTAGCACTTGTAAAATTTTAGTTGTAAGTTCTGGCGTATTATTTAACAAGTTTATACCTCTGTAGTTTTCTGGCTGTTTTTTTTTTATCTCCTTTGTTAAATAGTAGAATTAGTTCGCTCGTTCTCCATTCTTCCGGTATTTTATTGTGATTTATAATTTTATTAATTAACGTTGTTAATTGTTCTGTCATTGCTGCTCCATAATATTTCAGTAACTCCCGTCAGTTTGGTATCCCGTCTGTACCTGATGCTTTTCTGTTCTTAAGATTTTCAAGTATTTTCCGAACTTTCTGTGCATTTATATTAAGTTCTTCATTTGTGGTAATCGCTGGTGTTTCCGGTTCTAGCGTCGTTTGTTCTTCCTCTGTATATAGCTTTTTTAGGTAGTCAATCCACGTATCCTTTTCTATGTAATTTGGTTCTATTAGTTCCTTTACCTCCGTTCTTTGACCTCTTATGAAGCACCATATTTCCTTTCGAAGACCGTAAAAATCATGTTCCATTTCTATCGAAAAGTGTTCCCAGTGATCAGTTTTTATTTTTCTTACAAGTGCATGTGTTTCGTTTCTAATTGTCTTATAATTATAGTACGCCTCTTTTGTTTTGGTTGACATGTATTTCAAGTTGCTTTTTCTTTTTTTACATTTTTCCTTCACTTCTGTACAAAACCGTGGAGTGCTTTGCCTTGGAAATGATTTATTTTTATTTATATTTCTTTCACCAAGAACTTCCTTCGCCGAGGCTAAGATATTAGATTTTCATCGACTTTATCACTTTCTGTATATATGTGTTTCTGCTTTTTTCGGTTATTCTTTTTTGGAATAGGTATCTTGTGGATTCAGCCTGTAAGCTTTCGACTTTTAACTTTGTGGTGTATTCTGGTGTTTTGTTATCACATATATGTGTTTTCATTCGGATGATTGCCTATTCGAGCGTTAAAATCCCCCACTATTATCATCTTCCCTCTGACTTGATCCACTACTTGTTGCAGTTCATTATAAAACGTTTCTCTTGTTGTTTGAGACATGTTATTTTCTGGACCGTATACTCCGATAATGTTCAGGTCTCCCTTCTCCATTCTTATCTTTACTACTACAATTCTCTCTGATATGTATTGACATTCTTTGATGTGACTTTGGTATCTTTGGTGTATTAGTAAGGCTACACCTTCTTTGGTCCTGTTTTCTTTTGCCACTTCACTGTAGATTAATATGTATTCACCTAATTATGATTGTTCTTTTCCTTTCTTTTTTGTTTCCTGTAGAGCGCAAATGTCTATTTGTTTCTTCTTCAGTACTTGGGTTATTTCTTGGCCCCTGGCCCTGCTTGAATCTCTTCAATAGTAAATACTGCAGGTCGAATATTTTTGTCTATCCATAGAAATGTGTTGTCGGATTTCCTCCGACATTGTCCGACGATTGTCTTTGTCATCTTTATTTTTGCACACAGGTTATAATTCTTTTTTTGCACTTGTATATGCCTCCTTATGTTCTTCTTGGTTCCTGTGCCTTAGGGCTAATTACATGTTTGTACTACTTCTTTGTGTGCATTTTTGATATTTTCTTGGAACACATTCAATTTGGTAGTTTCTTCTGGTAGGATATTTATTTCTTTTCTAATTTTTTTTATCAATTACTGCCCTTTTCCTGTCGTATTTTGTGACACTAGGGCCAATTTCTTAAATTTGAAAAGGTTACAAAAAAGAATAGTAACAAAAAATGTGATATGAGAAGAATAAAAGAGAAGAAAACAAAGGAGACAGTCGCGCGAGTCCTTTCAGAAGGCTAAGATAACATGAAGCAAACATATGATCCAGAAGAATCACTCCAGAATATATGTGAAATCTTTAACAAGATCCGAGAAGAACATCTAATAGAAAGTAAAGAGAAGAGAAAAAGTTGGATCAATCACAAAATACTGCAACTCATGGAAGAAAGAAGAAATTCAAAGAATAACAAAAGAATGTACAAAAATATTCAGAGACAAATAAGAAGCGAAATACGAAAAGCCAAAGAAAATTGGTTAAAAACACAGTGTGAAGAGATAAAGTTGTTGGAACAAAAACATGATACATTTAATATGCATAAAAAGGTAAAATAAGCAGCTGGTCTTCAAAAATCCAACACAGCTAGCAAACTGCAAGACCAACAGGGGAACATCATCACAGATAAAAATCAAGAAATATGCATATGGGCCAAAACATATAAGAACTCTTTAGTGATAGTAGGTCCGAACAACCTCCGTCCTACATATGTAATGACCACTTACCAATCACATCAGATGAAGTGGAAAAATCAATATCACAACTAAAAGATGGCAAAGCTCGTGGACCTGACAATGTATATGCTGAACTCATAAAGCTATTTAACACCGACGGTATTCAACGACTAACAAAAATATTCAATGACATATATTTAAACGGAAGAATACCAAGATCAAATATTGGAATAAACACCTGTGATCTAAGAAATCTAAGATTATTAGCAATCTTTACTGGAAATTTACACAGATGGAAAGAATACTGCGGACGACTGATGATGGAGGAAAGCACAGACGCCTCATCACAACAAGAAGATGCCAGTTTTAAGTTAGTTAAAGTTAAGTTGAAGCAGCAATTATGAGGCAAAAAAGTCAAAAAGCTGCCGGTCCAGATAACATACCTATTGAAATGATTTGGGCCCTAGATGACGTTGGAGTGGATATAATACATCAAATTGGTCAAAGAGTGTGGGAGACAGGTAAATGGCCTGAGGACTGGACACAATCACTATATATTCCCATACATAAAAAGGGAGCGAAAGATTTATGTAGCAACTATCGCACAATTGCTCTAATTGCGCATTGCAGTAAGATACTCTTACACATAATTCTCGAGAGGATAAAGCCCTTTTTACTACCTAACATTGCGGAGGAACAAGCAGGTTTCGTCCCAGGACGTGGTACTAGAGAACAAATTTTAAACGTACGGCAGATTGTAGAAAAATCCAGAGAATTCAACATCACAACATATTTGTGCTTCATAGATTATAGTAAAGCTTTCGATTTGGTCAACTGGAGTAAAATGTGGCAGGTTTTGTCTGAAATGGGAGTCCCTAATTATCTGATACTGCTAATTAAAAGCCTGTACAATAACAATTATGCCAGAGTTAGAATAAATGGAGAACTAACTGACAGTTTCAGGGTCACAAAGGGCGTGAGACAAGGCTGCATACTAAGCCCAATTTTATTTAACATCTATGATGAATGGATAATGCGGAAAGCTACTGAGGACTGGAACGGTGGCATCACCATTGGCGGGAAGAAGATTTGCAACTTGAGATATGCAGATGATACTACTATCCTCGCTAGTTCTGAAAATGAATTGATTCACCTGCTACAACGGATAGAAGACGTAAGCTTAACGATGGGCCTTAAAATAAACAGGGATAAAACGAGAATCATGATAATTGACAGAGCTAACAACAATCAAAATCATCTGGTTAGGATAAACAATATCGCTGTTGTAGATAAATTTATGTATCTGGGCTCATTAATAACCAACAAAGGAGGCTGTACTGAAGAAATAAAGCGGCGGTCAGCAATCGCAAAAAGCGCTATGGCAAAATTAACAAAAATTTGGAAAAGCCATGAAATTACTACCGATACAAAAATGAGACTAGTAAGAAGTCTAGTTTTTCCAGTTTTTACTTATGCATCGGAATGCTGGACCCTTACTGAGAAAGACAAAAAGAACATAGATGTATGTGAGATGTACTGCTGGAGACGAATGCTGAGAATACCATGGGTGGCCCGAAGAACAAATGAATCCATACTGGTCCAGCTAAACATAAAGAAAAGACTAAGAACACAAATAACAGAACAGATAATAAGCTATTTTGGACATGTGCTTCGAAGAAATGGTCTTGAAAAACTTACCATCCAGGGAAAAGTAGAAGGCAAAAGAAGTAGAGTTAGATCTCCTACACGATACACGGACCATATTGTTGCTACCATTGGCGCTCCATTGTCAGAATGTGCTAGATTGGCAGAAGATAGAAAAACGTGGAGGAACATTGGAAAAATTACCTAACAGCTTCATGATATCACGATACCTGCATCAGGTTAACGACTAAGAAGAAGAAGACTGGAATCAAACGTCTATCCGTACAGGGGCAGAAGAATCCGATGATATAAAAATCAAACGCGTGGTCCGACAGGAATGTATACTATCACCCTTGCTATTCTGAGAAAATCTTTGTATCAATGACATCAGATACCCTTATGACACGGTGGTATTCGCTAGCAGTTATGAAGCCTCCCAGGAGTTAGTGAATAGAATCACAGAAGTGAGTCAGAAATATGGACCTTCACTGAACATTAAGAAAACAAAATGTATCATGATCTCTAAGAAGGAACAGCAACTTGAAAGAATCACTGTGAATGGTCAACCAATAGAAAGAGTAAAAACATACACTTACCTTGGTACGAACGTCAATGAAAACTGGGACCATTTCCTGGAAATAAAATGTAGGATAGAGGAAGCAAGATCTGAATTTCTAAAAAATTGTTAAGCTATTGAAATGCCACGATTTATCAGTATCCATAAAGATCAGGTTACTGCGATGTTATATCTTTCCTATATTGTTGTATGGAGTTGAGTCGTGGATTCTCACAGGCCTTCCCTGTAAGAAAATTGAGGCTTTCGAAATGTGGCTTTATTGTAGAATCCTAAAGATATCCTATACCGACCACGTTACTAACCAGGATGTTTTATTAAGAATGCAAAAAGGAAAAGAGTTGTTAACCACAATAAAAACAGCCAAAATTGAATACCTTGGTCACAACATGAGAAACAGCGAAATATATGGGTTGCTGCAATTAATTATTCAAGGATGAGTAGAAGGAAAATGAGGACCAGGAAGGCGAAGAATTTCCTGGCTGAAAAATCTACGTACGTGGTTTAACACAACAACTACAAATCTTTTCAGAGCCGCAGTTTGCAAAATACAGATTGCCATGATGGTCGTCAACATCCGTAACGGATAGGCATTACGAGAAGAAGAAGAAAGTGCCAATTTCGTACGTAATGTTCCGCTGAAAGGTTCTCATACCAGTACTTCCTAATCTAACCTAACCTAATGTTAAAATATTTGAGGTAATATTGACCATACAAGGGTTTACTTTATTCAATATCTGTACATTAAACTATCTTTTCATATGTTTAACATTTTTTTCCAGGTTTATGCAGCAGATCATAAACTACATACGTGTAAGTGACCTAGCGGAACCAGTGAGGACTTTATCTAAAGATAGAAAAGAAGACGAAAACAACAAGTGCAACTCAATCTACAGAGACATTCTATTTTTAGCTTGCAAAGTATTAGGGCGGGCTCAGATCGATATTAACACGTTTGACAAAGAGTATGCAGCAGCCTATTCTAGGGCAACAGAAAGACAATACAAGCTTTATCCGCAGGATAAACCCATCAGTTTATCGGCTCTTTATTGTAGACAATATTTCAGACCTCTAACATTGCCTTGAGTTTTACTAGTACAGGTTTTCTGTTAAAAGTTAGGTTGTTATCACGAAAACGCTGTATCTGTGAGACACAGCTGTCAAATCAAACTCGGCTCCATTTATGCGGGTGGAGCGTTAGCATATATTTTATAATTAATTGTTTGTACAAAGATAATATACATATCTAATAAAGAAATATATGAAAACTATTAGAAATAGTATTTGGAATAATGTTTTATATAAAACTTTCGTACTACTTACGTGCAATTTAATTTCGTGTCCAAACAGGTAATTTAGATAAAAAAAGTGTAATAGGTTTTAAAATCGTGTTCCTGTTAAGTAGAATGGATTTTAAAACAAAATTAGAAGTATCTTCTACAGTATTTTCTCTTCTTTTAAGGAGATTTGTTTCTTTCATTTTTATTTATAGTCGAAAAGTTGTTTTAGTTCTTATATTTCATCACAAAACGTTGCAATTGAACACAAGAATTTAAAATCTAAAAAACTACTTTTACCAGACGAAATAGAATCCCAACAAATGTGGTCTTGAAATATCATTATTTTCGTTGAAGACCTTTCTCCATTTTGACAAGTGCCTTTGTTACAAGTTAAACGATGTATTAAGTATTTTAATTTTGATAAAAAATAGATCTGCATAGCCCCATGAACCTCTCGTATATTTTTATACTTTTGATTTTATTAAATCAATAGTAAAATACACCAAACAATTAATTTAAAATGGATATCTCTTACATGCACTCCGAGTTTCTCTAGTTACGCTTAATGCTTTAATTTTAAAAACAATAATATAAGTTTAGTACATGTCTAGTTAGATGCACTCATATTAGGATCGATTCAGACTCGTAAAACTAACACCGCGCTGTTGCCAACCTTACAATTTTTGCTTAATGCTAATTATTCTTTCTTTTTAAATATATTTTAAATTGAGATGTTATAATATATTTGCATACTAGAAAGAGCGCGCCTACACAATAATTACACGTTAACAAATCCTAATTATCGCCAACAGAAGCGAAGTATGGCTCGCCCTATACTCTCTCTAACGCCATTTTATGATTCTTCAGTCAATAATATGCCTTCGGAACCGTTATAATGCTGTTCGTGTACTTTTTATTGGCTGTAAATATATATTATTTTTTTCTTGTTCGGTCTCTATAATGTTGACAATGATTCTGACTAGTTTTTCTCGATTCTGCATAAAGGAAAAGCAGCTGTGCATCCACGAACTTCCTGTTGGGTGTCAAACCAGTGTGACGACCTGTCGAATTGGCATACAGGATTTTAATGGATGTAGTAGCCTGATTCTTTATGTTGCCTCTTGTGGGGTGAAATAATACAATAATAAACTAATACAAATCAACTAGACACTTGGTAGATTAAATACTTTGCTCTTATACGGAATGAGAGAAATCACTAAGAATAACTTTCTTGTTGGAGTTATGTGATGAGATTGTTAGAGCGATGTGGCAGAAGGAGGATATCGGAATTGATGTTTTTGCCGAGTAGGAGTGGCCTTTTACAAGATAAGGTATTCGGACATCTGACAAGTGCCAGGTGTGGCGGTAATTTAATTCAAAATAATACAAATTCATAAGTTTATAGTTGTTTTTCAACACTAAGTAAGTTTAAAGAGTTATTTTATTTATTTATTCCCAGATTAAATCCATTTTATCACTAAAATATAAAATTCAACCCTATCAAGTTCATTACAGAATATAACATATTACATGAACTAATACTTGAGATTAGAAAAAGTCCAGAAAGTCATGTCGATTAGTAAAAGAAGAATTTGAAAAACAAATTGTATTTTGCATAATTCGTTTTATTAAATGTTACTAGAAAAGTCTAGTATTTACGTGCATTAAACTGTGGGATACAGATGTCATCATAATTGCCAATTGAAGACAGTTATTGAGATAATTAGAGATTTTAAAAAGTAGGTCAAGGTTGGTTACTACTCTCCTGATAACAGGGGCAATTAGTCTCTGTTGCAAGCCATGGTAATTTAACTCTTCGTACGTAAAAAATTTCTTTGCATACGCTCAATTCACAAAATATGAATAGCTTACTGACGATTCCATACTGCAGCATCTGTCTGTATAGTAGGGAGGGCGAGTTGAGTCCCAGAGCGCTTGGACCACAATTGACGCACTGTACATCCTCTCAGTTTGGTGTCGTCCTTAGCTCATTGTCCATCCTTCTTGGAAGGTGGACAAGGCACCAGGGGACATCTCACCTATGCGGGCCAGGGCTCGCCGAATGCGTACTTTCGTATTAACGATAACTCCGGACATTGACATAGAACATGCTCTACAGTTTCGACTTCTCGTTCACACTTCCTGCATTGAGGTTTGTCTACTAGCCCGAGAGTATGCAGGTGTTTGCTTAGTTGACAATGACCAGTTAAAAAAAACTGAGAAGTATAGGTTTTTCCTGGTCATTCTCAAGTGCTTCTTTGATGCTGACTTTTCAAAGTTACTTAGTGTAATTCTGGTAAAACTATATCCTTGATCTTCTTCCCATATTTTCACAGTTTGCGTGTGGGAATGATTGCAATTGTAGTAGTTGACCAACCAAAAAGATCCCCAGGTCCTAAGAGTCTTAGGCCTGCCGTCTTTCTAGCTAATTGGTCAAAAATGCGTTTACCTTTATTCCTATTGGGTCCAGGATAATATTATTACCATCAGAACCTTTAGTTAGTGACTAGTGAGACTCCATTACTAACCCTGATGTGGCACGTGGTCTATTCAGGGATAGTATCGGTTGTCTGCTGCTATCTGTGCAGATTATTATAGTTTTCCCAGCTATACCTTTTTGAGTTATCTCTTTTGCGGCTATGGAGATACCAGCCAGTTCTGTCTGAACTATACGGGTATTCTTGCCCATACCCCACTTTATTCTTAAGTTTAGTGATCTGGAGTATATCCCGTATCCTGAGCGTTCTTCCATTTTGGAGCCATCGGTGTACATGCAATACGCATTTGCCACGTTAGACTCCCTTTGATTCGCGATTGTAGGGTTTGTCACACGGCAGCATATTTAAGGATTTATGTATAGTGGATGTGATTTAGTTAAAATACAACTGCATTCTATCAGACACAGACCAGTCTAGCTTGACCAATGCCGTCAAAATGAATAGTTCTACAATCTGCGCAACGAAACTTCATAATTGACGTTTACTATATATATTTTTTTTTCAAAAAATCATTCAACATTTTTTAAAAAGATTATTACAATTTACTATTAATTTAATTTATCAATGTTTTATATTTTGAGAACTATTTCCGAAGTGGGAATCAAAATTGTCAAATAAATTTATTTTTAAATAAAATTGTGGCTTATTTTCAACAAAAATCTTATTTTAAAATATTGGTTATATTATATATAGCAACTCTGTATTTTGAAATAATCTTTTTGAAAACATAAATCCAAGATACACATTGTTTATATGGGATAAAGTCATAATTAATTGTAATAAAAAATACATTTTATAATTCATTTTCAAAAAAGATTTTTTTATTATTATTTTTTGAATAATGTTTTTAAAAACGACTTACGGCGGCGGGTAAATCGAAATGTCAAATAACAATAATTATAAAACTTAATTTTCATTCAGTCATCTTAATCTTAATATCCAAGTTCAGAACATTTTTATGTAAATACAATCTTTAACTCGAACTTGTCAAAAGAAAACATTTTAAGAACCTCTTAAAAAATGTAGGAAGGGCAACACCGCATTGTCGATTTTACGAGTTCAAAACAGCTCCACATAAGAGCGCATCAACTATACATTTACCTTTAGTTTAAATAACAAACGCTTTTCTATTATTTGACTTTTAATCAAAGTTAAACATACGTGAATAAATATTTTTCTCGAGTCATAACTCATTTGGAGTATACTACGTAGCATCTAGTTTCCTCGCAGATACAGTGGATTGTTTTTGTTAAATTTTAGTTTAAGATTTTATTTATGAAGCATATTTTGTTTAAGGTTAACAGTATTTGCAGTAGGCAACTAGTGATGTAAAATAAAATTGTTAATTTCTCTGTTTTTTTTTACTTATACCAAAAAAATCATCTGTAGCCTAAACATACATCCTTAAAACTTAATGCTCAGCTTACGACAATGTATTTATTAAACATCCTAAAAAGAAAATTATTTTCCTACCTAATAAATTGCTGACCTCTGCAAAGACGAACTCTCTGACGAATATACGAATACGCTGGAGGAAAGACCTGTTTTTTTCGCTCTTAGTAAATAGGTCAATTCGAGCTTTGCACATGGACAGGGAGGGTTCGGTTTTCTATGGATTTTAGATCCAATTGCTCAATTTTACGTGTCCATTCGGAGATAACAGTCACAGCTGCCCTCAATACGAAATATTAGGATCAACAAAAGTTTTTCTCCTCCTATCATGCTCCTTCGCAGTACAACCAACGCCTACATAACACAAATGACGAAAATATGTCCTAAAAAGGCGCGAGAAGATGCTTAAACTTGCCAGATATATGTGCGTTTATCTGTATCAGGTAAGGTGTTACATAGAATGGGGAAGAAAGGCGGCATATGATCTAGATAAATTACGCATGATTCGTTTTGGGATTAGACACACTTTCTACGCATGTGTCGCGCTTCCCCAAAGTACAATGCTATAGGGCATACGCGAGTAGATGATAGCATAATAAATATCTGGAATTAATCTTCTTACACACATGATTAATATGTGACTCCCAGCTCATATTACTGTTTAGATAGGAGATCGAGGAGTTTTCCTCCAAAATCAGGAAGAAGCAGAACTAATCTGAATTGACAATGGCAAGTGTCACCTTGCCTAAACGTCGTCAAAACAATGGATTTTCCAAATACCAAAATTATTCAACTCGGGAGTCAAACCCGGAAAATCGCAGAAACCAGGAGTTATTTGTTACCTCTCAGGGCATAAGGTTCTCTTTTTCGGGCTGGCAAATTGTACGTTCCATTAAAAAAATATAAACATTTATCATCGAACTAGTGTCTTAATAATTATAATGCTCGTTATTTATTATAATTATAATCATGTGGCTGGTTCCAAAAACTATATAGACTTTTTCACTAATAATGATCTGATAGGATCGAAAACGTTCTGAAAATTTATAAATCCATTTTGGATAATTTTTAAAAATTTTAATAAAATTTTATAC